TCTCTGATATCTCATCAGAATTTCTTCTGCAATAGGAGCTAATAGAAATAGACGTGAAATTTCTAAAAGAATGCAAGAAGATTGGATTTATGCAATCAAACGGGAGAACTACTGGTCTGACATATGCTGACGAAATATGATCGTGTGTGTTGTAGACATTTTAAATCTATTGGCAATATTAGCTTCTATTGCAGAAGGGAAAATGAATAGGGCAGAAAAGGGTGAGGTTGTGTTTCAAGGTTTTACAGAAAAGTGAGGTTGTGTTTCCATGTTTTACAGAAAAGTGGGAATGTTTTTCGATGTTTCACAGAAAAGTTAGGTTATGTTTCAATGTTGTTCCTCCTGGGTCGGTCATCGTGCACGCGACCTATTGTTTACTCAAGACCACTTTTTTTATTGATATGTGGTATTACTTCTTTATTGGTTGATACGTGGTATTACTTCTTTGGTTGATACTGGTATTACTATGATACTTATGACTGTGAAATTAAAATTAATTATTTCTATTGGTCCAAGCACCACGTGCTTTGGCACAATGTTGCCAAGCATGTTGACGAACAAAAATCCTTATAATTCACGACTTTGCCCAATTTGATGATATGTGATGGTTATTACCACTGAGCCATGAACAGGTTGAAATAACTCAATTTTCTCATCTATTGATTTTGTTTATTGACATTGACTTTCACTTCTCAACTGAAACACAGTATTTTTTTTAAATTTAGACGCGTTTAAAATTTACTGCATATGTGTAAAACGATCTCCTGAAGTTAAAAAATTATAAAAAAAATACTGCGTGGTTCAGTTCAGAAACAAGATTAGTGTCAATTAACAAGACAGCATCAAATAATGAGTAATTTGACTCAATTCAATCCGTCTGAGTTTTTTTTGTTTTCTGTTTTGGTGTCATGACCACTTTCGGCAACATGTCAAAATTTGACATTGACATTCAGTGTTCACTTTCGGCACTTCGGTAATGTGTTCACCGATAGGCTTCGACGTTTTGACTTAAAATTGTCCATTCGACGATGCATCCGGCTCCCAATAAAAGATTCATATGTCCATTATCTCTTTCGATAGCACAATGCGAAAACCAGCAGGCAATAAACTCACAACACCTTGAAATATTTTTTATACAGTGTGTCCCAGCTAAAACTTGTTCCCCCCTAATCTCCGATGTCGTTGAAAAAATTCAAAATCGCTCGAACAGGTCGACTTCAATTTGGCAACGCAACGCAACGCGCATCAACTCTCGATTTTCAAATGGAGCACCCTGTATTTCATTGCATTTTTAGATTCTCCCTGAAGAGCTGCTATCATCAATATATTTTAATGTCTAGCGGGAATGATTACAGAGATATAGGGCATTCAAAGTCGAGATTTTTCATCTTTAGGACTTTTTTGTGTCGAAATTATTCATTATCGGTCAAAATTGCTTTCATGTCTCTATCTTAACTTATGATTTACTATACTGATATTTAATTTGAACGGATACAGGAAGGTTTATAATTCGGAATTTGTATCTACCCAGTATTCGTCCAAATTAAATATCAGTAGATAGTGAATCAAAAGTTAAAATGGAGGCATGTGAGTCGTTTTGACCAATAATGAATAGTTTCGACACAACAAAATCCTAAAGTTGAAAAATCTAGATTTTGAACACCCTAAATCTCTGTAATCTTTCCCGCTAGACACAAAGTGTGATGCATTGATGAAAGCAGCTCTTCAGGGAGAATCTAAAAATGCAATGAAATACAGGGTGCTTCGTTTGAAAATCGAGAGCTGATGCCCGTTACGCTTCAAGATTTCAACTTTAGAATATGATAATTGCAGAAAAATGTGTCCCCCGCCAAATTGAAATCGACCTGTCCGAGCGATTTTCAATTTTTTCAACGACATCGGGAATTTTGGAGGTGACAAGTTTTAGGTGGTTGGAATTTCAGATTGAGAAGCATTAGTATCTCGAAATTTTACATGTTTCACATTGCAACTGTATGATGAACATCACTTCAGCATACATCTAATCAATAGCTTGAGATTTCAATTTAGGAAATGCAAAATAACATCAAGTTTGCGACTTGAGTTAATAGGAAATGACAATTTTTTTCTTTCCAACCATGAGATGCACTATTGTTGTTGGCTTGTTAAAGCTAGTTTCAACTGATAGCGTTTCAAGTTATGGTTCTCAATATTTTCATGATTCTGTCCAGAACTAAACTGACCCTTCAGGAAAAAAAATGGTGAATATCAGGTGGTCAAAATACCTGAAAATTTAATTTTCCTCCTGGTTTCATTTTTTGCCAATCGAGTTTGATTTTCTTGTTGTCATTTGAAACCTAAAGGACCATGGTCCCCAAGAAATTGTTGAAAATTTCGTGTTGAAGTGAAAAAAAACTAATTTTTTAACACAATTCATTCTGACAGGCCTTCAACAAAGTTACATTTCTATTCGCTTACGGTTTTTGTGAACTAGTCATCTATCTTTTGAATGACGTCAAGAACACCGAGATTGGTGAAAAAGTAACGAAACCAGACGCAATATAAAAAATCTCTCCATTTGGCCACCTGATAATATCATTCAAATCATCATTTCCTACAGGTAGGTAGTTAAATTTGTACAAAAATTAGAATTCATTCAATCAAAAAATTTAGAAATGCACATTTCAGGTTTACGATGTTGCAATGATGTTGTCATTCATAAACTGAACAATAAATATTCAAAGCATTTTAAGTGGTTAATAATTTAAGCTCCCAACTCGAATAAATATTTGATATTAATTTACGAAAAATGACTCCAATCGAGAGTAAAAATATTTTTTTTTGGAATGTTTACTTTTTTTGTTAATACGGATAAATTTTCGACCTTTCAACCACGATAATGCAATTTCATATTGACAGTAACATCTAGGAATAAATATAATATATTATAGCTTTAAAATTATATTCAATTTGATAAAATACACAAAAAGTTATTAATCAGCCCTCATACAAACACATTTTTGGCCTCGAGTTTTTGTATCCGATCAAGCGAATTGACTTGAGTATTTTTTATGCACTTAACAAGTAAAAATATACAATTCACATTAAAAATTAATTTATGTACAACCACCGTTCAACTGAATCGGCCACCCAAAAATATCGTTCAAGCAGATCAAAATCCTACAGGACAAAAACAATATTCTAGGAAGGCCTAACCCAATTCTTCCACTAGTGATGCAACGAATAATCAATTTAACATTGGGCGACCATTATATGCAACCAGATATTTTGTGAAAAGTATCCCGAGATGTTTATTCGGCCGAATATTCATTGGTAAGGTAACCTAACCTCTACAAGGCCTTATATTTATTCTATGACTAGGTTTACTGAGCTGATTATTCCATAGAATATTTTGTGACCAGGTACTCTGAGCTACCGTTTTTTCAGTCACATAATCTTCAAAGCAAATAGTCTGCGCTGTTTATTCGGTCGAATAGGCTGCGACCAGGTTTCCTGGGCTGTTTATTCGGTCAAATAGACTGCGACCAGGTTTCCTGGTCGGTTTATTCGGTCGAATAGGCTGCGACCAGGTTTTCTGGGCTGTTTATTCGGTCGAATAGACTGCAACCAGGTTTCCTGCACTGTTTATTCGGTCGAATAGGCTTCAACCAGGTTTCCTGGGTTGTTTATTCGGTCGAATAGGCTGCGACCAGGTTTCCTGGGTTGTTTATTCGGTCGAATAGGCTGGGACCAGGTTTCCTGGGCAGTTTATCCGGTAGAATAGCCTGGTATGATATTTTATGACTAGATGTACTGAGCTGATTATTCGGCAGAATATTTTGTGACCAGCTACTCTGAGCTACCGTTTATTCAGCCACATTTCCTTCTGCGACCAGGTTTTCTGAGCTGTCTATTCGGCAGAATAGCCTGTGACCATGTGCTTCAAACTGATACTTAAGCAAAGTATCACGTAACCAGGTATTGTCAGCCGTTCATTCGGCCAAATTTGCTGTCACCAAGTACTCTTAGTCAAGCACTACTCAGAAAATGATGTGAGCTGTTTATTCTGCCAAATATGCTGAGACCAGTATAACTAAGCTGTTGACCCAGTCAAACTTTCTTTGACCAGGTCACCTGTGCTTTCCAAATGCCTGATATTCTATGACTAGAAGTACTGAGCTGATTATTAGACAGAATATTTTGTGACCAGATAGTCTGAGCTACCGTTTATTCAGCCACATACTCTTCAAATAAATAGTCTGAGTTATTTATTTGGCCTGATAGGCTGTGACCAGGTTTTCAGAGCTGTTTATTCTGCATAATAGCCTGTGAGCAGGTACTTTAAACTGGTTATTTGCCAAAGTATCGCGTGACCAGTTATTCCCAGCTGTTCATTCGGCTAAATTTGCTGTCACTTGCAAGTACTCTTAGTCAAGCACTTCTCAAAAAATGATGTGAGCTGTTTATTCGCCGAAATATACTGCGACCAGTGTTACTGAGCTGTCAAACCAGGCAAACTTTTTTTGACCAGGTCACCTCTGCTTTCTATAAGGCCTGACATTCTATGACTAGATGTACTGAGCTGATTATTCGACTGAATATTTTGTGACCAGGTACTCTGAGCTACCGTTCATTCAGCCACATTCTCTTCAAACAAATAGTCTGAGTTATTTATTCGGTCTAATAGGCGCGGCCAGGTTTTCTTAGCTATTTATTCGGCCAAATTTCCTGTCACCTACGAACTTGAAGTTAATTATCGGTCAGAAAATGACAAGAACTGTTTATTCGGCTAATAACGAACAGCTTCCCCTATTAAGACGAATAAACAGAAGAAGAAATTGATATTCGTTGCATCCATAGAAGTTTGTCCACTTCGAGGTTAAGTTAGAAAAAAAGCGCCCGCGACCTAAACAGGCATTTTCTTCACCCCCGGCTAAGCCCAGTTCGATATATCTAACGTGTTTTGAGCATTTCAACGACGTGGAGAGCACTTGAAAAATGGCGCATCTCTTTCGACGCGCTTAACGGATACCATTGGTAAAGTATTGGAAGCCGTCGTAGAGTTTGGTGGAGAGGGAATGGATGCTGCCCTCCACCATGCGGTTGACCTCCAACCGCAGTTGCTCCTCCGTCATGGTCATGTGGAAGCGGTTCTTCAGGTGCTGGACGGTCGACGCGCCCGATTTGAAGCAGGGCAGTTGGGAGCCTGGGCGGGAACGAAGAAAACTAATGTCAGAACGAACTTTCTCATAATAACTACGAAATAGCCACAATGTTCAAAGTGGAATGAAATGTTGAATAAATACAAAACGCTCAAAATCATATCCACAAAATGTTCATGAAATGAACAATGGTAGATTTCGGGAGAAAAACAACTAGTTGTTTTGTAGAAAAACAACTGAACTGCTGATCAATCGAACCGCATCAAGCCGTTACCACCGATAAAACAAGGCCTGCATGCTCCGTGGGTGACGTCACTTAGTCAGGCCTAACCAGCGGCTCGAAACGACAAGCGCTTATAGCGCTATAAGGCGACCGCGTATTTCGATTTTAGTTTTAGATCATTATTGAGCCGATTTTGCTTTTTTTTGAAGGGCTTCCGGTTGAAAGAGGATGCCAGCCGTCAACTGAGCCCTTCTTCGCATCCCATTCGATTTTATTATGGAAAAACGAAGTTTCAAAGCAAAAACCAGAATAAAACACAAATACCCACCTACAGCAACCCATTCGAATTAAATATATTGGCAAAAATTGTAGTGATTCAATCTCATTAGAGGTAAACTTCACACCTACTTATACAGGGCCCGCAGAACATAAACTTATCATGAGATTGATCGAAAGAAAATTGGGGAAAATGTATTTTAGTTTGATAGACATGCCGTTTGTTATACCTAATTACCTATATTTATCTTGGAGAATTCCTATTACCTGAAAAATTAGCCAGTGAGTGTTTTCAATTTCCTGTTGTTGGATTTTTTACCCAATTGGTCGTTAGACTTGAAACAGTAATTTTTAAGTAGAGTGTTTGTAGTACATGTTAATATAATAGTTGCAATTTGATCATTGGAATGAATTCTGCAATCATTGCCACGAGGCAAATGACCCGTTTTCAGAAAGAAATTTGAGAATGTATTGAGTCAGAAACCAAAGAGTCCAATGCATTCGAAATATGTTTCGAAACCCTCTTTTTCTGATTATCAAGACATTTTCCCGAATTATGTATCTCGTTTTTATCTATTTCAATTAGTAATTCCTTGATTTGATTGATATTATTAGAGATAAAAGGTGTTTTCAGATTGGCTTTTAGAGATGTTTGTATCGCTAGGTCATACAAAAATGATTCCACATTCAAAACAAAATCAATCACAACCGAATATGTAATTACGGGCCCTGGAGAATAAGACAATTTGAATAATGTGACTTTTGGCAAATCGATAATTTTGAACCACTTTTCGGGCAACTGAAAAGACTCTAATACAACTAGAAATTCTTGAAATTCTGTGTAGCAAAATGATTTTTGGTAATTTTCGAATTCAGTTTTACTTTTGGTAAATGCTTGTGCCAAATTTTTAGTCTCTAGTATCTCAAGTTTTTCATCACGACTTGTGCGTAATTTTACATCTTTCGATAAATAAGATGGACAGTTGGGAAATTGAGTGGGAATAATATCTCGTTTGAGCCTAGGAATTTTCAAATCTATTGTTACAGTTTTGCCAGTTTTTGAATCGGTTGCAGTAGATGAAGTAATAATATCATCTTTAGTAAAATGTAATTCACATACTTTACTGTACTTAGATGGAGTCGTAAAATCCTTGCGGTGAATTGCATGTACCCACTTTTTCGATAGTTCCTTGTCCAACGGGAAACTAAAAGCATGAACTTTTGGACCACCCACATAATTCCCCCGACAAAAGGGAACACAACACTTGTAAGGCATTGTTATTTCGCCTATCACAACACGAAATATTTCACAAAACAGTAATTTCTCCGCCAATTATTTTGATGAATAAACAACAAGAGAATTCGAGCACACGCGATTCACCTACGCCACCGTTCTTAAACAAAAACAAACTGACGATCGATCGACGCGAATGCCTTGGAAGATGGCCTGAGTATGCGACGTCACGAGCTGTTTACGTCAGAGTCTGCTGGCCTTGTTTTATCGGTGGTAACGATCAAGCACATTTTTGATCTAAATTCAACATTGAATATTTTCGCGAAAATTCCACTTATTCGGATGCGGTTCCCTTTATTCTGAAGATTGATCCATTGGGTATATGACAGATAGACCGCTGATGGAGATACATGGTAACCTCTGGCTATACAGGGTGACAAACAAACCTCTGCAAAATATTGAATAATTCTCCATACTCCCAATTTGATGGGAAATTTTCGAGATTATTTTCAAGCATATTTTCATAATTCTCAAGCATATTCCTCGAAATGGTTTCGCAATTTTTTTCTCATCTTTACAGATTAATTAATGAAAACATCCTGTAACGTCACCAATTGTCAATGAAAACTGAAAAGCTTCAAGACAGATACGACTTTACCATTGAAATAATCATTTCTTATGTTGAAAACGGGAGCAGAATCGGACCCGAAACGTCCAAAGATGAGTGAAAATTTGATATTTTTTTCTATATACCTCTATTTCTCTTCTCCAAACTTTTTTCAATACAAATTGTCACTGACAAGCTAGTGAGTTTTCTTTTAGGCTCTCTGATAGGAAAATTCTTTAAATGCAATGGCATTTTGGGGCAAATCATCTGATTTGTCCTTACTACACGTATATTGAAATAATATTCATATTTTTATTTTATAGAAACGAGGAAAGGAAATCCCAAAAAATTTGATATGAATATATGAATGTACCACCTCCTCGATTAACCTACAGACAGTATCTCTTGATTTACTTGATTACTTCTCAGAACGTTATGAAATTGCTCTCTATCCGCCAATTTAGGTACTGAACTTGAACCAGTACATGGTAATAACGTTCTCAATTTACGAGACATCAAAATCTGAGCTGGTGAAAAATTCTCTTCTATTGGCATGTTACGATATATCATCAGCGCTAAATATACAGGGTGTAAATTTGAAAACTTTCAATGCGAATATCTCGCGAAATAAAAAAGTTAGAAAAACGCCGCTTGGCAAAAATGCTGAAGAGTTAAGGGGAACTAGAACCACCATACTTCAGTAAAGGGATGAGTCACCCCGTCGGCGCGACACACTCCATTTTTGAAATGTCAAATGACACTACCTCTTTTGTGATACCTCAAATGAACGGTCTCAGTCAGTAGTATTCACCTGTACAAGACTTATTTTCCACCCACTACAGGGTGAACGATAAACATAAAGTCGAATAAAATAAAATGCAGAATGCCGATATATTCCAAGAGATGTGTTCCAAAATGTCAGAATGGCATTTGAACATCGATTATACTATTGCTTACAACAGAATGAAATGCATTTTGAACATCTGATCAAATAAATTATCCTTTTAACACAATTCATTTTATTTCATTCGACTTTATATTTTTCGTACACCCTGTAGTGGGAGGAGAAAAAGTCTTGTACAGGTGAATACTACTGACCGAGACTGTTCATTTGAGGCATCACAAAAGAGGTAGTGCCATTTGACATTTCAAAGTTGGGGTGTGTCGCGCCGACGGGGTAACTCATCCCTTGACCGAAATATGGTGGTTCTAGTTCCCCTTAACTCTTTAGCATTTTTGCCAAATTGCGTTTTTCTAACTTTTTTCTTTCGCGGGATATTCGCATTGGAAGTTTTCAAATTTAAACCCTGTATATCTCTATTATCCTCAATCACTTTCCTAAAAATAGTCTTAGCGTCTCTAATCTGTACAGTTCTTCTAAAGAATATGTTTTTGTTAAGGCATACAATTCAGTTGTTGGTGTATCATATGGAAGACGATACAGTACTTTTAATGATTTCCTATATAATGTTGATATTTTATAAAAATTAGTTCTGAACAAGATCTTCAAATATTTATTAAATAGTTAATTCAACTTAGTCACAGTTTCTAGAATTAGAGGATTTCGATATCACGTCAAAGTCATGAACGACAGCTTGGCGGTTCCTGCGTATTGAGCAGAAGCGTTTTCAGGCGAGCAACTGCCCCTACATTTTCGTGTTGCTGCGATATGTCTACTAGCATTCGAGTAATAAGTCGGTGATTCGCACCGATCTATTTCGGATGTCCTGTACCCACCTGATCTCATGATCTCCACCAGGGTGACGATCATGCCGTGGTGCTTCCTGGCAGCGATCAGACCTTGCAGGATCAGGATCTTGAAGTACTCGAACATGTCGGAGCTCTCGCCGCCCATGATCTCGACGAATTCGGGCGTCAGCTTGAAGGGGGACTTCTCGAAGCCGAGATTTTTCGGGGAAGACGACAGGATGAAGCCGAAGTCGATGTGGATGAGGTGGCCGTCGCTCTTCAGAAGGATGTTGCCGTTGTGCCTGGACGAGAAATGGTAGATTGTTTTATTAGGATCAGAAGTGGCACTTCGTTTAACAAGCGAAGCCGAGCGAAATCAAAATTTGCGAGTCAAACAAAGTCACTTTTGATCCGAATGAAACATGCTATTTTTCTGCAACCTAATGAATCAACTATATGTAGGTGTAGGAGATTATTATGACCCTCGATATATAATATATTGTATTGACGTGGTATTGTGTAGTGATGACGACGAGATAGTATCAACATATTTATTATAAATGATTCATGTACTGTTAGAATTATTCTACATCAGTTAGATATTGTTACAATATACCTATAGGTAAACATAGCATCATTCAAAATATATCAACAACTGTAAACAGGCAAACAAGTCAAGAAAACTTAAACCACCCCGGTTGAGAATAGGCGACTGGATATTAGTACGAACACAACGAGTCGGAAAAGATTATATAACAAGAGGTCCTTTTCAAATAACGAAGGTCAAGTACATTGATGGGATTCTTGGATATGTTCACTTCAAAGTTGATGATATGGAAGAGACAGCACATATATCGAATATACGACAGTTTCATCACAGGAGCGATGATTTTTTTGAAGGGGGAGTTCTGTAGGTGTAGGAGATTATTATGACCCTCGATATATTATATATTGTATTGACGTGGTATTGTGTAGTGATGACGACGAGATAGTATCAACATATTTATTATAAATGATTCATGTACTGTTAGAATTATTCTACATCAGTTAGATATTGTTACCCTATACACTACACTGTTTTACCACTAACCAAACCGATTTTTTGAACGCCTCGGCGTTAGTGGCAAAACAGTGTAGTGTATTATCGTGCCAAAGGTTCCAGTCTTCGATATATAAAATAACTATGTAAAGTAACCACCAATGTGACTTAATTGACAAATTATTATAATACCTTTATTAAAATGATATAGGTAAGTAGATAGAAGCAAGACCTCAGACTACTTTACATTAGAATATTGATGAACGATGACTTTAATTTGTTACAATTTGTGTTGACATGTATCATCAGATACTACAGACACGAATTCAATACTATACCCGAAACGTGGATGCCTTGTCATATGTATGCAATGCAACAAATAATCCGTGTGGTGAGAATATTCCACTTGCATTTACAGATCAGGTTTATTCAATTTTAAAGGATAACCGAATTGTGGTTTGAATATAAATACAACCACAAAGTGACCCATTTGTTTATTCTATTAAATCGAAGAATTCATTTGGACCAGGTGTCAGTCCTAATAGCAAATACCGCGCCAGTGCCAGGTATAGAAAAAAGAAGTGGAAAATGTTAGGTTAGTGAGCGTATCAACAATAATAATAGCGATTATTTATTTCTCTCCATATTCCAGTGTGTTTGGCTCGGTAATCAAATGAAGCTAAACAATCGTTGTGTGAAACAAAAAAATAATGCTGGCTGTGATTATTCGAAAACAAATTATTCAATCAATCACATGCGAATCTTGAAGGCTTTCCTGATAAAAAAACTCAACTACAATATGGTGTATTTATATATCCAGCATGGGTCTGAAATGACAAATCTGCCGAAATCGGAAACAAATCAGGTATGCGTCCCAACCCAAATAACCAACCATAACAATGTTGCTTATTCTTGATAACCTAGTACATCCTTTTTAGTTCCTAGGAGTTTGAGTTCAACTTTAGATACTAGGAACTAAAAGTGTTGCCTAGCAACATACCTATTTTTGTGTCAGTAATAGAAACGTCAATTCAAGAGCTAATTTTGGTATAGAAATGGACGAATTTTGTGTCGGTTGCAGAAAAAATAAATAATAAATGGTGACCACCTAGATCATTTGATGCAACAATGCTTGCCTACATTCCAGAAAATACTAGCCAAATAGCCCGAAATCGGTTTGCTGGTAGTTTGGCGGTACCTGACTTCAATTCGAACACGAATCGGGATTTTTAGGAAAAAATGTTCTGTGTGGCATTAGTTTCTTGTTTTTTTTTATCTCTTGGAGCGCACGAAATGTTCGAGGAACATCGTGCGTACTATTTTTGTCATTGGAACGCTTCCGATTTCTCCGAAAGTGACGTGATCTTTGTCACTTTCAAAAGGACAATGTATTTTACAACATTTTTGATTTCCTCTCAGGATTCTGGCACAACTTAATCGGTTTCTGGGTTATTCGAATTTTTCTAGAAAAACTGACAAATGCAATATGACAATGTGAGTGTAGTTGTAGTATATTAAAAGAACAATGTCCGGAAAACTAGAAATATTGATGATATCGGCGACGTCGTACTAATACTGAGTCAATGTGGCTTTTCCAAAAGTATACGTCACAACAATGGTGAAGGAGAGAAGATCCTTTTTCATTTATTATTTCTTGAACTGAAATTTGATCTTACGAAAAAAAGAAAAAATACATCCAGGTATATCAAATTTCCACAAACTTTGCAGTGAAACAAAAACCTGAATATTGGAAACTTTCCCGTTGATGTATACTGAGCAGATATTTATTTAAATTGACTTTGATTATTCCTACCCCTTATATTTTTCAAATCGACATTCACAACCAATCGAAGTACCATCAGATGTACCACAGGGATCTCACATGGGACCTTTGTTATTTAATCTTTTTGTTAATGCTCTGATGTCATCATCAACAGTTCCTTCTTGATGTTTGCTGATGACTTGAAGATGTTTAGAACGGTTCAATGCATTTCTGATGCTGAGCGTTTGCAGCTCGATCTAAATAATTTTTCCAGATGGTGCCATATCAATTTATTAAAACTGAATTTGAATAAATGTCAAAAGATAATATTTTCACAAAGCCATGATGCTATTGATCATATTTAAAGAGTTAATGATACTTATCTATCAGTAACCAATACAATCAAAGACTTAGGAGTAATATTCCACTAGAAAATGACCTTCAAACATCACATAATAGAAACATCATCTCGTGCTCGTAAAATGCTAGGCTTCTCCCTCCGTTCTGTTAAAGAACTATCTGTTAATGCTGTTAAAATTATTTATTGTGCCCAGGTGAGGTATATTCTTGAATATAGTTCTTTGATCTGGTCACCATTTTACAAAGTTGATTCTGATCTTTTAGAGGGTTGTCAAAATAAATTTTTAAGAAGTTGTGCATATCACATGGGATTCAATAGGGATGAATATACCTATCCACAAATATTAGATATTTCAAACATGAATACGTTGATACATAGAAGAATGGAAATTGATCTATTATTCTCCTGAAATTGTTGCTCTGATTACGCTTTCCGCAAATACAAGAAGAAACAGAAATAGTGACATTTTCAAGATACCATTCTGTAGGACAAATTATGGCCAAAATGAATCAATGAATAGAATTATGAAAACAGCAAACACAAACAATTGCCAAATCGAACATTTCAATTCATCTTTGTCTCTCAGGAGAGCGATAAAAAACTGTTAATCACTTTTTTCATAATCTTCATTTTTCTATTCGTTTTAGCCACCTACATTTTTTTTTGTGTTAGTCTTCTTCATAGATATGATAATATGTACGTGCTCTGTATTTTTATACTTTCTTTTTGTAAATTGTATAATTGGCTTGTCCGTTAATAAATGATAAAAAAAACACGTCAACGTCAAACTCCAGAAACTCACCGATCCTTCACTTGGATGAGGTAGCAGATGAGGCAGTAGGCCGCGCAGCTCTGCACGAAGTTCTTTTGCGCGGTGAGGAAGCCCTCCGACGTCATCGGGCCGTACTCCTTGATGAAGTACTGCAGCAGCGACAGCTGGCAGTGCTTCTTCACCTGGTGCAGCGACACCGTGTTGAGGATCGGCTCGATGAGGCCGCTGTCGTCCGACAAGCACAAGATCCTGCAGAGCGAAGGAAATAGGGTGAAACTGCACTTATCATGCGATGTTTTTTTTTATAAATTTTTTTTGTGACTTTTGGGATGTATTTTCGTATGGAAAACACGAATTTCACAATGCAAATGCGAACAAACCGCTATCTATTGAGATATGTTACGAAAAAATGCGAAATTTCACCATGTTTTGCCACCCATCTTGGATATCCATTTACAGCTATTCGTCCTTTTTTTGCCATCATTGGACACTTTATGTACTCACGTCAAAAATATTTGGTTAAATTTACTCTTTTTAGGAATTTTATGACTCGGTCTGGTTGTTTGTTCAGCATTTCTGTAAGATTTCTGGACATATCGCATTGGTTCCTTTGGTATTCGAGCGTGGGGCATTCCGATAATGTATGTCGTATAGTTTGTGGAACATTACAATTTTCACATTGGACTGGAGGTTCTCTCTTCATAAGATGCTGGTGTGTTAGACGAGTGTGTCCTATTTTCATTCGTGTGGAGAGAATTTGGTTTTTGGGGCTTGTACCACTATAAAGTTGGTTTTCTAAGTTAGGGTTGATTTCCTATAGTTTGTTTTGACTGTGTAGGTGCCATCTATCTTTCCATTCATCTTTAGTTATTCGTTTTATTTCTTTATGTAAGTCTGAGTGTGGTATATTATACACTTGTATATACAGGGTGTTGCGAAATTCGACCGACAACGTTTGACAGGTGATAGCCCTCGTGATTTCATAATCATTGAGATAGGAACATTCGGTCTTCAAGTGTTCAGTTCTCGAGATACAGGGCGTTGAAGTTGAGAAATGAAAATAGTTGTTTCGCAATATCTTAAGAATAATTGAATATAATGCATTCAACTTCGGTATATGGTTTCATCTTTGAATGGGTCATTTTTTGACCTGGAAGCCCTTCCGGACATTTTGTCCAGTGGTGCCCTACAGGGGGTTGTGGCATTTTTTCCTTCCATATTTTCTACGCCACTGATTAAATTTCGATTATTTCCAATTCCTCGAATTCATTGTTCAATTTTGTTCAGAAAATGCATCACCTTCAACTGAGCTGAAATAAACAGTTTTCGAGATATTCGACCCAAAATAGAAGATTGCATAGTAATATTTCATCATTTTCAGTAGTAGAAAATTGCAAAAATATTTTTCTGGTGTTGAGTAGATTAGATACTATTCAGATCTCATGCTATAGCTGAACAGAAATAGTTATTCCACGCATAAAGAGAGAACAAAAATGTTCGTAATTTTTTAATACTGAGGAAGATGAAAAATTACTATGCAAACTTCTATTTTGGGTCAAATATCTCGATAACTGTTCATTTTAGCTTAGTTGAAGGTGATGCACTTTTTCAACATAATTAAACAATCAATTCGTGAAATTAGAAATAATTGAAATTTCATCAGTGGCGTAGAAAATATGTGCGGAAAAGTTATCACAACCCTCTGTAGCGCACCTCTGGATAAAATTCTCGGAATGTCTTTCTGGTCAAGAAATTAACCATTGGAAGATCAAACCATATACCGAATTTGAATGCATTATATTTAATTTTTCATGAGATATCGAGAAAAAACTATTTTAATTTCTCAACTTCAACGCCCTACATCTCGAGAACTGAACACTACAAGACCGTATGTCCCTATCTCAGAGATTATGAAATCACGAAGGTTATCACCTGTCACCAGCGTTGTCGGTCGAATTTCGAAACACCCTGTATAGAGGTTGGGTTTTCTGGAACGGTGCGGGCTGCGGTATCTGCTAGCTCATTACCTAATATGCCGCAATGCGATGGTACCCAGACAATTTCAACTACTTTTCCTCTTTGTTGAATTTCATGTCGCACGTTTAATATTTCCTTAGGGATTGGATGTTTAGGATATAGTTGTTTTATGCCTTTTATTGCACTCAGTGAATCTGTGAAGATGACTGTGCTACCGTTAAGATCTTTCGCAACACTTAAAGCTTGTTTAATCGCGAGAATAACACGTTCTATTTCCCAAAATCAACAAGAAGTATGGTTTATTTGAATTTTTTCATATTTTAGTGAAGTGAAAAATTACATCAGCTGACACCCATTCAGTTATCAAATCTACATACAAATCACAGAACTCAAAATACAAATACGAGATGTCAAATAAAGGTCAAATGCCGAAAACATTTTCAAGAAAATCGAGAAAACAAACTATTGTTTACCTCACTAAATATGAAAAAATTCCAAATAAACCATACTTCTTGTTGATTTTAGGAAATAAAATGTGTTATTGGAGTACAACGTATATGTATAAAGTGTCCAGTGATGGAAAAAGAAGGAAGAAGTTCTTCATCCTAGATGGGTTGCAAAAGAAGGTGAAATTTCGCACTTTTTCATGAAATATCTCGACAAATAGCGGTTTGTTCACATTTTCATTGTGAAATTCGTAATTTTTAAGACGAAAATACGTGAACCAATAAAATTTTCGAAAAAAAAACCAATCGCATGATAAGTGCAGTCAGGGTTGGCATGAATTAATTCATATGAATTAAATCAGTGATTTAATTCGTGAATTAATTCCATTGACTTTTTTCGAAAAAGTCATGAATTCATTCAAATTTAAAAAAATATGACAAATTGCTCTATTACCTTTGATTTCAACTAGTTTAAACTGAAAAATTCGATCGTATTTTGGCAAGTCTTTGTTATTTCAAGCATGACAGATATTTTTACTAACAGATATATACAGTATCAAGTATCATCCATAAAGTCCATGACATATGAGAACAGGTTTATTATCACAGCATCGAATTTTTTTCTCTCAGCGATCCATTATGCATATCCGATAACTTGAAAATCGATTTTGACACATGTCACGTGATCACTGGTATGGTGATAAATAAAAATAATACTATAAAGCGACGAAAAGTGGGGTTAGATAACAAAATATCCATAAACATTTCTTATTAAGTTACTATTCCATATTCAGTTTCGAGCAATTTTTGGAGGAGAATTGGAAATAGCTATATCTTTTCGAATATTCTTCAATTTTGTTACAATTCTCTTTTTTTTGACAGTAGTGATGTTGATGATGTACAAGTTGAATAGAATTCAATTTCATGCTCACATATGGAGTTACCAGCCATTATTTGAGAAAACTGAAAATAGCTATTTTTATTTTTTTTTTAAATAACTTCATCTTCCCATCTAACCCCACTTTTTGCCATCGTATTTTTTTGAATTTACCGCCATACCAGTGATCAAGTGACATGTGTCAAAATCGACTTTTGAGTAGTCAGACATGCATAATAGATTCCCGAGAAAAAATGTTTCGATATTCTACTAATAAACTTTTTCTCCATGTGTTACGAACTTTATGGATGATACTGGATCTATATGTATCTATTATTTTGTATTCTATCATCACTTTTAATTTTGTTTTGAAAAAATGACATGTTATATTATGATGTTATTCTACAAGATTTCTGAAGGGAATAAAAACATAGTTTTTTTGTTTCTCTTTTTCTATTTCGCTTTGGGTAAATGAAATTTGTTTTTTTTTTCAAATGAATTAATTCAAAAAAGTCTGACTTAATTCAAAAAGTCGGACTTTGATGACTTTTTTATAAAAGTCATGACTTATTCCAACCCTGAGTGCAGTTTTACCGGAAGAGTTTGAATGGAGCGTTCCTCGTGTCTCGTTATTTCCATGATTATTTGAAATGTGTTGAACCCCACTAACCTGAGAAATCACCATAATTCGAAGATTCCCTCTAATGAGAAGTAATACTTATTAATTAAACCTAGGTGAATAATGATGAATTGATAAAGAAATTTTACCTAGATAGCAAAAAACTATCAATAGTGACAATAGTGTCAATGATATTATGCTGATTATGCAATATACACATAGAAACCGATGCTTATGCAACCAACGAAAAATTATATATTCTTGAAACCAAATATAGTTAGAACTACCAATCTCATTAGTGTTGAAAGCAACGTTTGAGGTATGAAAAATGTTTGGAATAATCTGATTATTATTAATTCTAAAAATGTCACAACACGTGAGCTGTCACTGACCAAGAATTCAAATAACCATGACTTCCGGTGGGGACACATATAAAACATGACAAGTGACACATGACACTCTTTAAAGGGCGTGAAATGAGATGTTCGAAGCACTCTAGGGTCAGTATCAAGAATTGGTTGATACAGCAAATTGCAAATTGTGTCATGATGATTCTATGAGTGGGCAAAAAAGCCCAGTAGCCAAGTGAATAGTAGAGTAGTTCATTTCGGTGATCGTTGAAATTTACCTGTATGGATGCACCCACAGCGGAACGTGTTCCATTTCCCAGATTTTCTGGAAAGTTTCCAAAAGCTGGGAAGCCATTAGTTCCTGCCGCAAATCATCCCCGCATTTTACTATCACCGACAACAGCTTCCAATTGGATAGATACCCGTACGGGGAGCTTTCTCTGATCCTTTGTTCCTTATCCTGAAAAAAATCATAATTGTGTTCGTGTTATAGCCCAGGAGCCAGCGACATTTTTCAATGTCTCATTTAATAAAGCTTGGTTAATTTTTTTCATCTGTTGTAATAATATAGTTTTTCAATAAAGGCTGTGTCAAGTCTATGGTTCGATCGGGCACATACCTTCAGTATGTAACAAATCAATATCGCCGCCCATGCTCTCTTCTAAATATAATAAAATATTCTTCAGGAGGCTAGGCAACCCACATTCAATCAAAAATATATCTAAAATCGGTGCGTTCGCCTAGTTCAGTTATACAGGGTGCCACAGGGTATCGGGCCACCCCTGTAACTTCTGCATTCGTCAACGGATTTTTCTGAAATTCGGTACAGTTATATAAGCAATTATTTCGGATTTGATCACATTACAATCCAATATGGCGGACTTCCGGTATTTCTGGAAATGCCAGCAACTTTGTTTTTCCAAATGAAACACCCTGTATATTTTTACATATTCAAGTTCAACAGGTCGAAACAAGTGCAATCTTTACTTCAAATGTCATTTTTTCGAAAAAATTTAAATTAAAATTGTTTTTTCATTTTACCTCGTGGATAAATGAGATGTGGTCAAACTATTCACAATGAGTCACACATAACAGAAGAACATAATTCTTTCTGAGAAATTATGTTTTGTGTCACTTATCCAGGAATCAATTCAGCCACATCACTTTTTGAACAAAAATTATTTTTTTTTCAAATGGAACCCCTATGGGCCACCTACCCGTCTCTTTAAAACATACATTAAGGAACAAGATGACATATCATTTTTGTTTTTCGGTGCTGTAACAAATTGTATACATTCAAAAATCAACAACTAGTTTATGAATTTCCTTGCAGTTAGAATAATTTTTCAACTAGGTAAGCTGTGGAATAAATGACATTAGACATCAAGATTACACTTGTTTTGACCTGTTAAACTTGAATATGGTAAAATATACAGGGTGTTCCATTTGAAAAAACAAAATTGCTGGCATTTCCAGAAAAACCGGAAGTCCGCCATATTGGATTGTAATGTGATCAAATCCAAAATAGTTGCTTATATAACTGTACCGAATTTCAGAAAAATCCGTTGACGAATGCAGAAGTTACAGGGGTGGCCCGATAACCTGTGTCACCCTGTATGTATTTGTCGAATTTTCTGATCGATCATGCACTATAGAGTGTCTTAATATTTTATGATAGCAAATATAAGATTGTTAATTGGTTGAGTTGTTCTTCTAATTCATTAACATTTCGCTGAGCGGAACTGGGTTACTAAATCCTGACCCTTCTATTGAATAACCAGTGCATCCTAAAATTAAATAAATTCAAGTACATATACCCTTTGTTCAGTGTATATCGAGAAATCATATCAATAAATTAAGTTACAAACTATGACCCCTTTTTGCCAGTGAGATGAGACGCCACTTGTTTATGAAAAGAAAGACAGAAGAAGGTATATGGATTTACCCTTCACCGCGGCAGAAGAGGAAAGAAGATCCGAAGTGCATGGAAAAGCATATCCATGTCTTTGTTCAGCCAAAAATCTTCAGTCAGAGTCAAGTAATACGTAAAATCTGCAGAAAAATGAAGAATAGAATATACTTTACCCCCATGTTATACATATGATTTGTCCGACTCCTTTAAATAAACAGTCATTTTCGAATAATTCATTGATGAAAGTAACAAAGAAGTTGGTATACGCCTCGGTATACGCAGAATAACTTACAGAAACGTTATTTTCACTCTTGCATCCTACATATTTTCTATTTGTGGTACAGGATATTGTTTACTGATTACAAAGGTGCTAATATTTTCTATGTTGTGAATTTATCAACACATTTTTATTATTTCATCTTCTACTTCTTTTTAGTTTGGCTATCTATCAAAGCATGTTGTTTTAGTTTTTCAAACTACTATTTATTGTTCCTTACCTGCCACGGTTCTTTCAAGACAGCCGCTGACGGATCTTCGGGATCGTGGGTGAACTTCCGGCTCTTTTCGTCGTAGAAAAAGTCCGAGAGTCGCTTCCGTATCTCGCTGGCGGGAATAGAGAGGGGCGGTTCTCGGGAATCGCAAGACTCCTGGCTCATCTGCGAAATCGTGTCCCTATCCACGGGCTTCTTCAGTTGAGTGTACTAAAACATTTTAAAATAAAAATATCCCATTAAATTGCAAATATTTTCAATCCTTGTGGAACAGTTCCTTGAGGACTTACACCTTGAAATGGAGAAGTTTCCTATACTGAGGTTCTTATCTCCCTGTGAAGTTTGTGAAAAATTGATATACAGTCTGTCCAAGATAAGGTTGAACAGCATGGGGATCTCGGAAACGGTAGGAGATACGAAGTCGCTTAAATGGGGAAAAAGTTGCGAATTCGGAGGCTCATATCAAGAGCCTTCGAAAATTTTGAAAATTATTTTTAGTTTTTGAGTTATATCGAAAAAAGTGAATTGCTGCTGCTTGAAAATAGCTGTAATTACATTATTTGTGATTGAAACTGTTTCGAAAAACAATAAAATTTACCCCTATCTTCGGTGATTTTACCTGAGAAGTCAAGACATTCGTGTTGGTAGCAACAACTATCAGTACTGTCATAATCAATGTCACATTTTGAATGAACTGTCGTTTTTCAATGTCAATTATAGTCAATTTGAATAAACAAAGGGTCCCAGAAGCTGTTTATGCTCTAATTTTCAATCAGTAAAAATGGGCCCGAGTTTGAGTAGATTTACTTAACCTAAAACATTAGAAGTACTCTGCCGCTTAATTGTGTATTCCTATATTTCACAAATTAACTAATTCACATAAATTGTGATTTATCCTGTTTTCTTCTCTTCAACAATGCCATTATCGTCTTATACAAATTACTAGCATAAATGTGAAACAACCTCACCAAAGATGTAAGTTGATTGCTTTGTATAATCAATGTGACCTAATGATAAATTGTTCGTAGTCTCCTTGATGATGGAATTCTTGACGTTGTGACGCACGTGCAAAGAAATATTACACAGACTTCACATCTACGAGTTCTATACTACATTTCAAATGAGAAGACAGTAGGTAGCGCTGCCTCTGAAGAAATGTGTACACTGAAGAAATGAATATATGACGCCTATATTTCAAAATCATTGTCATTCTATTGATTGTATTCCACTTCGAGTTCATGTATATTCTCAGGATCTGTTGTAACATATAAAATTTAGAACAAATTACTGTTGCAAGCGGTGTGTAAGCGCCATTTTCTGCTTACTGTCATGAATGAAATCTGTAAAAAGTGTCGCCATCTTGCGGGCAACTGAGAACTAATATTCCATTATTGCGGAATCTGCGGTCAAGCGTTTTGGGAGAAACAAAACACTGTCTGTGATTACACCATATTATATCCACCTTGCACACCATCTTCTCCTTCCACTATGGAATGGACTATAGACGACTAATTTACCTGTTGCGATATTTCGTCGTCCTCCTGGCTCCAATCGGCGTCCAGATCGTCGTAGCAGCCGCCGCATGCGCTGAACGCCGAGAGGGACGTCGTCTCGTGCTTGAGATTCTCCTCTGACCTGGTGTGCCGCAGGGTGGGCATTATCTTGGTCGGGACGGGCGAGCTTTCGATGTCATCGACTTCCACCACTTCCACGTAGATTATGTAGGGCGCCTGAATGTATTTCGGGTATTTGGTTATTTTGTTCAATATTAGAATAGAAAATGAACGTTTGAAACAAACTGCCCATACCAAATACCTTGGTATTTGGATTGATGAGAAATTAACATGTGAAAAGCATATTGACATCCTCATAGGAAAAGTATCTCCCAGTATTGGTGCTTTAAGAAGATGTCCTAAACTTAGTTTCCTATTATATCATCAACAAAAAGCTTAAATCAAATTTTATATTAATCAGGAATTCCGAAATTCATGATCATCACACTAGACAATATAACTTGTTTCATCTTGAAGCTGCAAATTCTAAACTTGGACAAAAAAGTTTACACATGAGGCGATTTCAAAATTCAATAAATCACCAGATGATATCAAAAACAGCCCAAATATTATACAATTCAAAAATAAAGTGAAGAAATATATTTATATGCAAAGGAATGATCAAAGCTGAAAGACTATGAATTTCCTTTTTTTTTTCTTTTCACTTTTTTTCCTTTCTGGTTCACTATAGTATGACTGTTATTTTGAGATATCTTAATGACATGTAAGTTTTGTTCACTATTTGTAATTTCAATTATACAACAGTCGATAATACTTCATGAATGATCTTATACCAGGAATTACTGTCATTCCAACTAGAAAATTAATTATACTTTATAAATAATTTGTATAAAATGTATCAATGAAGAAAAGAATGTAATGCAATAGCTGAAATAAAATAAAATTTAAAAAAATAATATAGGTATTGTAGCATAGGTCGCGTGCATGATGACCGATCCAGGAGGTGAAACATTGAAGTACAACCTCACTTTTCTGTGAAATATTGAAACACAATCTCTCTTTTCTTATTTGTTTACAAAGGAATCAATGGATTGAAATAGTTTTACATAATATTTTGGTACACGAATCGTGTTTTTTTGGGCTATTCATGAATTCAAGCATGCTACCACATTGTGCTGCTGAACAATGAACAAAAAATGCAGCGAGAGACGAAGGAATATGAATTTTCAGGTAAATAGTGATCTCACATAGTTTTCATTATGAAATGCAGTCATTTCTCATTCGAATTCCTTCTATCACTTCTACAATAGAAGCTAATACTGCTAAATAAAGTGGATATGTCTACAACACACACGATCATATTTCGTTAGCGTGTCAGACCAGTTCTGCCGTTTGATTGCATGAATCCAATCTTCTTGCCTTATTCCAGAAACTTCACGTCACGAGCATTTCTTTTAGCTCCTATTGCAGAAGGAATTCCAATGATAAATGACAAGATTTTAAAATGAAAACTATATGTGAGTGACTATAGTGCATTGAAATAATTGAAGAATAAGTGAAAAACTATTTCAATCCTAAGTAAACAAATAAGAAATGTGACGTTGTGTTTCAATTTTCTACCTCCAGGGTCGTTCATCTGACAGATCTTGCATGCAATCCATTGAATAGTCAGACAGCTATTACTTATTAAAACCCTTTCATTAGTTCCATCTATTAGATAGATAGGCCGGCGTACCTCAGTGCTTCGATGCTTCAATATCGATTCACGTCGAGGTATCGATCGTGGGTTCGAGTCCCACGAACGCAGACTTTTTCTGATGGCCTAAGAAAGTGTTTGGGATCACACGTTAAAAGGTAAGGCCCCCGTCATTCCTTGCTCGCACAAGACTTTCGAAGACTTCTGAGGGTTGCTCGTAAGGGGGCAACCGAATGACGGATAGAACAATTTTAAACAATTTTTACAATTTCATCTGTATACATGTCCTTTGGACTCGATTTTGACTTATGGCTCACGTGACGGCAATCCATTATTCATCAGTAGGTTTTTTAAAGTATCAAGATCAAGGCGAAGAGTTATAATTAACAACGCGATGAATAAAAGAAAAATAAGCATATTTTTTTGTTAATGAAAAGTTTCTAGCCTTCAGTTTATTATTGTTTTGTGAAGAAAAAATCCTCTTCGATGGTTGAGAGATTACAGATAGCGAAAATACACATGTGAAATTTAGAATGTAAACTACTTTTGGCAGTAGAACGATCAACACGCATCTTTCTACACTTGTGCTAACGAAAAATACTTTCTATAGATAGTATCAAATTATGCCATCTAATTATCTCTCGTATACATCAAATCAGCGTAAATGTAGTTACTTATTAAACGAATCCGGTTTTAGTATAAGTTAGAGTCAATTTATTTATAGTTGATACATCCTGAATAGCTATTGTTAGTGGTGTTAAGTGTTTACTTCATTGTGATTCTTTTAATTGTCATGGTCAACGAAAACAGTTGCAGGATATCCCAAATAATTATCTATGCAATGGTAACTTGATTACTATTATAATCTTTTTCAATCTATTCTGGCTTATGGCATAATAGACTGGGGAGGTCTATACAGGGTGTATCTAAATAACACCGAAAAAATTCAAGGGGTGTTTCCTTGTGACATTCTAGTTCACGTTTTATCGTAGAAAAATAGATTTCTAGAATATTTTTGTGTGGAAAATATATTTCTGGTAGAGGTCGCTGCGAGCAACTGTTTTCGAGTTATTGGGATTTGAAATAATCGATGCATTTGAATTATTTCAATGGGGCTCGTTAGTCGTCTATAATTAGTAAATATCAGAAAAGATACGCCAGTGCATTTTTCTTCTTTCATTCAATATTCTCCCACATTCAACATTGGAATATCGGCAAAAGATGATTCTTACTTCTTTCTACCTACTTTATTGGACTCTTCCAATTTAAAAATATAACAATCAAATGAAAGATTCCCTAATCATTGACTGCCGAATCACCAGACATTCAGAAACCTTTTTCAGCGTCTTAGGGAGTCTGGATCCTTTAAAAAAGCTCCAGTAATAGGCAGACCATTGACTACTATGACTCCAGTAATTGAAAAAGCTGTTCTTCAGGCAATCGAAGACGATCCACAGACATGCACGAGAAAATTTGCAGAAAATCTTATGAGCCCCCCAAATAACTCAAATTGATTGATTGATTGTCTTTATTACCCCAAGAAACATTATTGTTTATAATAGGGATATATACAACAAAACATACATATAAAACATAATAAATCGAAACAATAATAATTGCACAATTATTGTTTTTCCTAAAAAAAAAAAAATATAATAAAATATAAAATGAAAATATCATAATCCATTACAAGTAATCAAATTGTGAATGATTAGTACTATTAATAGATATGGAATTAAAGTTTACTGAGCAGATATTTCTTTAATTTCATTTTAAATTTTTTTGCTTCTTCTATATTTTTCAACTCATTAGGTAAGGAGTCATACAAAATTATTTCAAATCCCAATAGCTTAAAAGCAGTTGCTCGCAGTGACCTCTACCAGGAATCTATTTTTTACACAAAAGTGTTCTAGAAATCTATTTTTCTACTATAAAACGTCATACAGGTATGCACAAAAAAGTTATGACTTTTCAAAAGACTCAAAAGACATGTAGGTGGCGCCACCTCCACGAAAGAGACAAACTAACATAAAATTTGATATTGTCATTGAAAAATACCCCTATATACCAAATTTCATTCGAATATCACAATTATTTTGAAATTTATTAACAAAAAACAAAAATAAAAATTCAACTTTGACACTCTGTATCTCAGAAGCGAATAACTTTCGGACATATATTTATACGAACTTTTCTTCTTATTTTGATGTCAGCAACATGCTCCTCCATTTTTTCGTGTTCATAATTTGATCTGAGAATATTCCTGTTTAATACTTTCACCCAGTAAAGGGGTTCGAACTGGAACGATGGAAACTTGTTATTTTAGTCCAGTCATTATATCCAAATAACGGACCTTACCCGTGAATAATTTTTTAGTGTTTTTTTTTTCATAGGTGTCTCGGGGGGGTCACTGGGAGTGTAAATTCAAAATGGCGACCAAATCAAGCTTTTGCGTATGTTCGAAAACTGGTTTTTTTGTTAAAAAACGGTTTTTCTTGAATAACTCGGCCATTTTTGATTCTACAGAAAAAGTTTGGGGACAAAAATTGTAGTAAATTTGGTTCTCTACAAGTTTGGTCCCTACAATTCTTCTGATAGGATCGATATTTTGTAAAGTAAACCTGAAAAAAGCGACAAATTCGAAATATTTTCATTATCTCGTTCATTTTCAACTTTACGGCATAAATGAACAGAAACAAACTTGTAGAGAATCAAATTCTGGACAAATTTTGTCTTCACCTGTTTTTCCGAAAATCGATATTTTCGGAATTAAAGCTAAAAAAAACGACTCAATCGAAATATCATCATTATCTCGTTTATTCTCAACTTTACACCATAAATGAGAAGAAACAAACTTGTAGAGAATCAAATTTTGGACAAATTTGGTCACCACCTGTTTTTCCGAAGATCGATATTTTCGGAATTTAACCAGAAAATATGTACCCATTCAGAAATATTCGCAATATCTCCTCTTTTTCAATTCTGCAGGTGCAACGAATAGGGCGAAAGTTGTATACAATAAAATGAAAATGATAATGAAAATTGTCGCTTTTTTCAGGTTTAATTTACAAAATATCGATCCTATCAGAAAAATTGTAGGGACCAAACTTGTAGAGAACCAGATTTACTACAATTTTTGTCCCCAAACTTTTTCTGTAGAATCAAAAATGGCCGAGTTATTCAAGAAAAACAGTTTTTTAACAAACATACGCAAAAGCTTGATTTGGTCGCCATTTTGAATTTACACTCCCAGTGACCCCCCGAGACACCTATGAAAAAAAAAAACACTAAAAAATTATTCACGGGTCAAAGTCTATTATGACTGGACTATTTTTACAGATCTTCAATTAGACGCTCACCTTGTCTTTGGAATTGAGCACGGCGGCCACCTGCGGCGGTATCCTGACGACGAAGTGGGCAGTGTGAAGGGGCAGCCACACGCGCGCCGGCAGATTGAGGTTGAGCGTGGTCAACTCGGCGACCAATCGGGTGGTCTTCGCCTCGCGCGTCGGGATCGAGCCCAGCAGCTTGCCGATGAGGATGAGCGCGCGCAGGAATTCCAGCTCGGGCGTCAGTCTCGGCGCCTGAGAAGAGACAAAAAATGTTATGTTGCGCCAAGCCTTCACCGCCAAGCTGAATCCAATCATTAACAATTGAAGACCTATCAAAATTGATGTAATGATCGAGCTTCACATTTCAAAGTTTCTTCGAAATACACAGGGTGTTCCGTAAGGTCACAGCACATCAAAGCTATGTTTTTTTTTCATTAGAACACCCTATATTTCATTTCATTTTTGAATTCTCCCTGAAGATCTGATTTCAACGACGTATCATACTTAGGGTCTAGCAGTGAAAGTTACTGACATGGGTGTGCAAAATCGAGATTTTTCAAGTTCAGAATCTTTTTCTGTCGAAACTGTTTATTATTCGTCAAAACGGTTTACATGTCCCTATCTCAACTCTCCACTCACTATCAATTGGTGTTCAATTGAAATTGATACAAGGTGGTCAAAAAATCTTAATTTATAATTTGTTTCAATTAAATGTCAATTGGACACCAATTGATAGTGAGTAAAAAGTTGAGATGGAGACATGTGAACCGTTTTGACGAATAATGAACAGTTTCGACAGAAAAAAATTCTGAACTTGGAAAATCTCGATTTTGCACACCCTATATGTCAGTAACTTTCACTGGTAGACCCTAAGTATACGTCGTTGAAACCAGATCTTCAGGGAGAATTCAAAAATGAAATAAAATATTGGGTGTTTCAATGAAAAAAACATAGCTTTCATGTGCTGTGACCTTACGGAACACCCTGTGTATTTCAAAGAAATTTTGGAATGTGAAGCTCGGTTATCACTTCAATTTGAATGCGAAACTTATTTTTGTATCTATCAAGACAACAGAGGTATCGAACTCTGGATTCTTAGTTGGCCACCCTGTACAGCTAAGACTGATACGATTCGTCCAAAGATGTCACAATTATTCCAAATTTTTTTTATGTTCTGGTTCCCATGAAATGGGATATCCTGTAATGTAAGGGATATAAGGTAGGAATTGGTGTTCTTCTTAAATTTCTGGAGGTTATATGCCTCGGGGAACACCTCCCTTGACAATTGGTTTCCAGAGCGTCGCTGTTCGTTGGATGAACGAGTCTTTGGAAAGAGATGTTCTGCAGGTCTCCAAAGTGACCACGAAAGGGTGCAAGCCTCAACTCGACGGGTTAATCTCGCAGGGACTGCCAAGGGAGGAACAATTGTTGATACTTCAGAAGAGCATCGTCCATGAAAATATCTATAAAATAGAGCCAGATCGCCAACTTTTCTTCGGTGTTCCAGAGAAAAGAGTGAGCTTATGAGCGAGGCATCACCCACGAGACGAATTGCCATTTTTTGGACAGAATCCAACAGTTTCAGGTTATGCACTCCAAATATGGGAACAGTATTCCAGGACAGGTCGGATCTGTGCCTTATAGATCATAAGCAGCTGACTGGAAGTGAAATAGCTCCTGGCCCGAAACAGCAAATGATCTCACGTGATGAAAGGTTATTGCTATTATTATTATTATGATTCTTATCACTAATTCGTAAAGAAATTGCATCCATCAACATCGCATCTATGAACACCATGCCAATTCTCAATGTAAACTGAATCGAAAAGGAAAAACAATTGGGTAAATGACATTGTTGTGGTTGCTACAAAAGATACATTCATTTCTGAATTTAGCACATGAATAATATAAATACCCGCATTTATTTATATTACTTGATGTGGGAGTACAATATGGGGACATCATTTTCAAGGATGTAACGAGCCAAGATAACATTGAATTGCAAACGATGAGAGACGTATAATTTTCAATCTCAGTAATTCATTATTGGATAATAAACTCGATAACAAATGATAAAGAGATAACGTGACTCAGAGGTGGATCACTTCAAGTCGATTATTTGGAAATGATATCAGTGAATAATTCACTGATAATTATTATCAGTAATGTTTTTTTTTTGTTTTGGAAAATTTATTTGTATCATCGCAATGCATTTTGATTCTTCTTATGATGAGCCAAGCATATTTTTGTGAAATGATTGATCACCAAAAAAATCCTATCTGAAATCCAATCGGTTAAGATAACCTAGAGTATATGGAATTGTAGCAAATATACAATTCCATATTCCCACTAGTATTTGAGAATTATGATTATGCTGTATTATGATTACCAAACATATATGTGGAGACTAGTGAGAGTTTTTTCTGATGAACGAATCTAGTCCATTATGAGTATGAACTACTTCTGCAACGTTTTTTATATGAAAATATCGACAAAAAATATGCGTCAGGCACGGTCTGTCTCTCGATCAAAATCAGTATACGTTACAAAGGTTTAGTGTGCCATGGACAATTGACGGTATTTGACCGAAAATCAATTTGGCACTTCTGTCATAATGAATTTGTTTATTGTGTAATTACATTTGAAAGTATTTATAAATAAGTTTGGAATATGAGGAAGTATATGAGATCATAAAGGAACGTAGTAGAAATTATATACAGGGTGAGTCAGTTTGTTCTGCGTTATACAGGGTCGTTCAAAATTCATGATCTTACTGCTAGATACAAAAAGGGTTGAAAGTGCATTTTTTTATATGGAACACCCTGTACATTATCGAATATCCTGTAAGATGGCTAAATTCCCTTCGAATTGATATATCATGTTCCTATTAGTAGTAAAGATGGCCGCAAGTGCGGACGCGAGTATAGAGCTCTGCTGTTATTGCAAGAAAAATGTATCTAAAAAAATCGTCAAATGTGTTGAATGTGGCAAAGTATACCACAAAAGTTGTGCAACTCGGGTAGTTTGTTGTGAAAAAACATTTGTGGAAGAAGAAAACAATCCAATAGCTCCCCAGGGAAATTTGAAGGACTCTGACGAGAAATTCAATACTGTCAATGATCCATGTCAAGAAATACAAATGGAAAAACTGAAAATCGAGAATGAATATCTCAGAAAGCTCCTTGAAGGTACGGAACACAAATTCAAATTATTGGAAGACAATATTAAATTGCTTCATGAAAACAAACGACTCCTTCAAGAAAAAGTGGAACAGTTAAAAAAAGAGCTAGTCGTAAAAAACGACACAGATAAGATTACTACGGTAAATAAAAACAGCTATAAGGAATCCCAAACAAAAAAGTGGGAAACTAAACCTGATGACCAACAAACAACAGTGCACGTCACAGAGGGGCATTCCTACTTACAGGGTGAACCAAGTGGCAATGCAATAGTAGAACCACAACTGACCAAGACTCCAAGCAAGTCAAACATCCTTGATAAACAGATTTCTGCTAATATCCTTGAAGTACAAACCAAACGAAAATTCGAGGAAATCATTAACCTAGCGAATCCCGTCGATAATGGAGATAATGGGTTCACCAAAGTCACCAGACGCAAGAAGAGATTTATGGAAGGCAGTGGAAATGGAGACAATTTTCTACAAGGAAGGTCAAATAGTGAGAAAAAGATCTGGTTATTTCTGAGCAGAATTCCGGACTCAGTAAATGAAGAAAACATTGGAAAATACATAAAAAACCGCACAAACTCCAATAGCGTGAGCGTGAAGAAATTACAAACAAAAAATACCAGGCAGGACAATCAATCTTTCATGATTGGTGTTGAACCTCATCTCAAGGATAAAATCTATGAAAACACTTTCTGGCCCAAAAAAGTTATATATAGTCGCTTCAATTTTAAACTGGGTCAGCATTTTCTTGACAATAATCCTCATCAGGATCAGTTTCAAGTGGAGAATGAAGAGCGTGAAGGTCCAAATTCTTTTTTAGGAACAACAGCCAAGTAAAAGATACCGAATTAGTTATAATGCATCTCAATATTCAAGGCTTGGCTCCAAGGAAAATTCATCATCTGGAAGTTCTTCTGAACCAACAGTCACCAGATATTCTATGCCTCTCGGAACACTGGCTCAACCCAGCCAAAATAGCAAGTCTCAATCTTCTTGAGTATAGTCTGAGGAATAGCTACTGCAGAAAAGTGTACGAACACGGTGGTGTATGTATTCTATCAAAAGAAAATATCTCCCTGAAACCTTTCACATTCAACAAAAGTATAGAGAAAAGTTTTGAAGTAATAATTGCTGTTTTAGAAATCCCGAATAAAAAAAGTAGATTGTATATTATCACAGTCTACAGGACCCCAAATAGTGATCTCAATATATTTCTAGACGAAATCTATGATCTGATGTGCAAAATCTTCACGACAACACAATACTACATTCTATGTGGTGATATTAATATAGACTCTCTTACAGACACTTGTGAATCAAGAAAAATCAAAAACATATTCTATGAATTTGACATGAGAAATGTCATAACTGAGCCCACACGTATCAATAGAAGCATAGATGCAATGTATACAAACCTCCAGCCAAACGATTGTCATGTCCAAGATACGCATCTTTCAGATCATAAATTTCAAATCTGTACATTCCCATTACCAAAAGCACATAAATGTAGTGAAGAAACTATTTATAAACGTAAATACTCACATGATAACTTGATAGCTTTCAGAGAACTGTTAAAGAGTGAAAAATGGGAGGATGTTTATACAGCGGATGATGTAAATGAAGGATACAATATTTTTCATTCAATTCTTTTGTACTACTACGACATTGCTTTTCCATTGGAAAAAATTAGAATAAATAAGAATACGAGGGCTAAACCGTGGATAAATAAAGAAATTAAAGATCTACACCAAATGGTATGTGATTTGTGTAGAATAGCTAAGTGTTCAACAAATGAAACAATAAAAACCAGATATAAACAACTGAAATATCTTTATGAACAATTGGTGAAAAAAACTAAAGCAGAATATAACAACAAAAGAATACTGAATGCAAATAACATAAGCAAGGAGAGCTGGAAAATTATTAATGAAAGGAGGAAAAATACAAATACCAATGACAAATTTGAGCTCACTATTAATAATCATAATGTCACAGACAAAGCCAGCATTGGCAATCACTTCAATGATTTCTTCATGGGAATCGAAAAAACAGAACCAAAAATAAATAATCTGAAATTGTCCCCCTTCTCAAATTCTACATTATTCCTGTACCCGACAACATATATGGAGGTACAAGATATTATCACAAAAACAACAAAAACTCCGTCACCCGGTATAGATGAAATTAATGGCAAGGCTCTAAGAATTGTTGGTGATTTAATATGCTATCCACTATCTCACATAATAGATAAATCGTTTGTTGATGGAACATACCCGGAAGCGCTGAAAATGTCTAAATCGGTACCTATTTATAAAAAAAAAGGGTCGAAAAATGAGTTGGCCAACTACCGAAATGTGTGCCTGCAATCGCAGATTGCAAAAATTATAGATTTCAGCTACTACCTAAGGCTTGTTAAATTTGTTGAATATTTCAAACTTATTCCCAGCTGCCAACATGGCTTTAGACAACAAAGATCGACTTCAACTGCAATAAACGAACTCTGCAACGACATATATATGCAACTAAATAACAAACAATTCCCAATTGTTCTGTTCTTTGACCTAACTAGAGCGTTCGATACAGTGAACCATAGCTTACTACTGGAGAAGTTATATCGAACTGGAATCAGAGGGGTTGCCAACGATTGGGTGGCATCATATCTAAAAAACAGATCGCAGGTCGTAGTTATTGATTCTGTGAAATCACAACCTGCGTCTGTGTCAATTGGGGTTCCTCAAGGGTCAACTCTTGCGCCACTTCTTTTTATAATATTCATGAGTGACATAGAACTCGCGAGTATGGTCCAGCAAAAAACGATAATCTATGCAGATGATACAAGTAAAATATTGGCAGAGAATAAACTGTCGCTCTCTATAAAATCAGCAAACTCAGCTGCAGAAGAATTCGCCAGATGGTGTGAAAATAATGGCTTGATAATCAATAATAGTAAAACGGTATTCATGGTTTTCCAACAAAAAAACATTTCGTATGATCACTGTCCCCTAATAAGAGTTAATCACAACTCCATCGAGCAAGTGAGTCAGTTCAAGTATCTAGGCCTGACTGTAGATCAGAAATTAACATGGGAAGTACATATAGAAAACCTTGTCACGAAAGTGAGCAGTATGTGCTTTGTAATAAAACAATTACGAGAAACAGTCTCGCTACATGTACTTAAGCTGATTTACTATGGACTTGTACAATCCATTTTATCATATGGATTGCCTTTCTGGGGGAACTCGGCACATGCAATAAAAGTTTTTAAAATTCAAAAAAAAGTAATAAGATGTCTAGCTGGTCTACATTACAAAGAATCATGTAAGAGTACATTCATCCAACTGGCCATACTGAGTTTACCCAGCCTCTACATTTATGCGATTACAATGCACATTAGAAAAAATGAAACACACCATACCAAAAATAATATGATCCACATCTACAATACTAGAAGAGGTAATGAACTAAGACTACCTTATTCTCGTTTGGCTCTGGGACAGGACTCTGCGAGTTATCAAGGTATCATTTGCTATAACCATGCACTCAAACTATTTGGAAACGCATGTAGCTTAGGAAGTTTTAAATCAGCTCTATACAATCATCTAGTCCAAAATGCATTCTACTCTGTTGAGGAATTTTTACAATCTAAATGAGTATTCAATATTATAAAACTTTAATCCTTTAACTTCTATTTTAAAATGTTTGTGTCTGTTCAAATGTTTTTATTCCTGTTCTTGACTAGTCTGATAAAATTTTATAAATGTATGTAATACAGATGTAGAATTTTCAATGATGAATAAATTTCTATTCTATTCTATTCTATTCTATTCTATTCTATACCTAAATAGCCAGAATTCCGAGATAGGAGCAATTTCCTAAAAACGTCGAATTATTTTTCTCATATTCATATAAGGTGGCTATTAAATGTCATGATGGTACATGGCATTATGAAAATTTGATAATTAGTGCATTAGTAATAATACCTTTGTGTGTTTCTCAACGGAAGGGACTCAAAAATGTCCCAAACGTATGAACCAGCGATCGTCGAACATTTCGAACAACTCCGTTATGTTACCTCCCTAGTGCAATGAGCCGGTGCTCCATCCAGTTGAAACCAACTGCTACGATACTCTTCACTCTTCTAATGACAGATTGTTCAAGAAGTCGTTCACAAGTGACCTTAGAATTTGAAGATATTTCGCAGAATTCAACGGTTCATCGCGAGGTTCATCGTAAATAAGAAAACTTATTCGGTTATCCTTTAGAAGGCAAAATACGTTGAAACTAAACTTTTCCTGATATCGAATAAGGATTGTTTCGCAAAATTGTATCCTATTTTGATAATCTTCTGGCTTTAGAGCTTGAACTTTTGTAAACTTGTGTGGGTGCATGTTATGATTATGAAGGATCCTTCGAACAGAAGCACGATCCAAGCCTAAATCATATTCCGCACTTCTAGTGGAAATAGGCCAAAACATTTATTATGTTGTCTTCATTTGAAGATTGAAGTTATAGGCTTCGGTAAATGTCGTTCCGTTTTCACTTTCGATCCATAATTGCTGAAATCATGGTGTAATCCTACAAACTTCTTTTTGTTCATTGGTTGTAGATCAGGAAACGGTTCACTGAATTTTCTGTACGTTCTTGCTATAATTCCCTCACATATTCCATGAAGAATAAACAATTTCATCAGAAATTTTCCTCCATTTCAATTCTTTTTGAGTCACTTCCGTTGGGAAACACACAAAGGTATAATGCACTAATGTCATTTCATAAAGCCATGTACCATCATGACATTTAATAGCCACCTTAGATGAATATGAGAAAAATAATTCGATGTTTTTAGGAAATTGCTCCTATCTCGGAATTCTGGCTATTTAGGTATAGGAACATGATATATCAATTCGAAGGGAATTTAGTCATCTTTCAGGATATTCCATAATATACAGGGTGTTCCATTTGAAACAATGCACTTTCAACCCTTTTTGTATCTAGCAGTAAGATCATGAATTTTCAACGACTCTGTACTTTTCTCCACAGAATCAATATACATGATCTTGATGAACCAAACACGGAATTGCAACTCCCTGAGAATCCAAATAAACATTCAATTCAAGTTCAAAAATGCGGTAATATACAGAGTGTCCCATTTGAAATAACAAAGATGCTGCTACTTTCTGGTATAAGCGGCAACGCTGCATTGCTGAAAATATGTTAGATCGATAGATCAAGAGCAGTTGCTTGAGTAACCAAATTTTCAGAATAATCTTATGTCCCGTTCTCCGTAAACGTCTAACAGACCTATTCAGTAAAAAGTCGTTATTTTACGAGTCGTTAGATAACAACTATCGTTATCCTAATATGTAACGACAATTCGAACGACTTGATGAAAAAATGCATTCTGTAAGATATGTCGTTGAAAAAGATAGTATGACATAAAGTGACATTATTTGTCTTAAATTGACAAATCGTTATGTATATCATATATATCAGAGATCTTCTACCGAGTCTTCTACTATAATAATTGGAGAAGATAATGTTTCTAAGGGAAGTAGGATTGCTTACAGTCACCGGAGTGCTAAAATATTCAAACAGTGATTCGTTATTATTTGAATATACGTGGAGGAACTGCAGGGAAATAAATACTTTCCATCAAATCAATATGAACCCACAAACTTGGAGTGGTTTGGTTCTATAATTGAATAGGTCCAGAGGCCCAATGAGGGATGAAAAGCAATGGAGAACAGTACCTACGTATTATTTTTATATGGGTTTTGAAAAAAAAATTGAATAAGAGATAATTTAGAGTTTTGAATAATTCAGTTCTCAATCTACCTATTTTGTAACTTGAAATCATACCCATTTCTAACATATATGATACCTTGACAATTTGGTACAGTGAGGTAAATGTTCTACAAGTTTGTCTGATATTTCATAGATCCATCTGCTTGGGACATAGTTCATGATTTGTCTCTTTCTTTAGATTTTTGGTAACAACAGATAGATAACCGACAATCCTCCCGAAAGTTTCCTTCATGGACTTTCGAATGGTTTACTAGTATCCCTCAAGCGTCTATTCAAATTTTTATTCACTTGTCTGAATCGGCATAAACGGTGAATATCTACAAATATGTATATCTAACTCCTCTGAAACCCTTCTGAAAGTTCAAAGAGACTGACTGGATCCATCTCCAACAGGAAACCGATGGATGAGAGGATATTATGATGCGTTCATTGTTTTTGTGTTCATGTTATCCTACCGATACTCTGAATAGCTATCGTCTATAAACGATGTTCTGATGACAGCTTGTCGTTCGTTACCGACTGTCAAATCGGTAGTGAATTCGATTCAAGAAAATTACCGTTATTTAACGATATGTCATTCACTAACGACACGTAACGATAACGTTATGAGATACTGAATATGCCTGTAAGGTGCCACCTGTATAAAAAAAATGGTTACATCCATCACCACTCACCGAACACGTGCATTCAGTCTTCTCTCCCCTCAAATCGTTGACGACGCCGCGGCAGCTCTCGAAGCACGCGCACCCGCTGTCGAACGCCCTGCCCGAGCTGAGATCGCCCAAGCACAGACGCGCCGCACTGCCCGAGCCGACCGCCCCGCTTCTCGCCTGCCCACGCTTCTGCGCGCCGTCCGCCCCTAGCAGCGCTGAAGCGTCGCTGTGCGACCGCTGGTGCGACTTCTTCAGCCTGTCGACGTTGGGCGAGGTTATGACAGTCGTCACGAGGGCGGACACCTGGTGGTGTTTGGGCCGGAGCTCGTCGGAGAGGATGAGGTCGCGCAGGCGAGTGCCGTGAGGTTTCTTTTTGGTGGGGATGGTGGCGTCGCCGCTGAAAGCCTCGAGGAGCCAGGCGCACTTCAGGGAGAAGTCGATGGATTTCCGGCATCTGTAACGGAAGGGGATTGTCGTCGGTACTTTACTTTTTCAACTTCAATTTCGGAATCGGTAAGTTATATTCCGGAAAAAGTAATCTCGATTTCAGAATTGGTTAGTTCGATTTCAGAAATGGTAAGTTGTATTTCAGAATTGGTAGGTTCAATTTCAGAAAAAAAATCCCTATATTTGTTTGAAATGTTTTTAATTACAAAAGAGGAGATTGTTTACAATGAATGAAACGGTGTTTGAGAGCGTGCGTTCGAAATGAGCATCCTGCAGATACCATAGTGGTAGTTCTGGATACTGCACCTGCACATTCAAGAATAGAAGAGATATGCATGGAGGAAGAATTTCAGAATATTATATTTTGCAGATTGGCACCTTACAGTCCTATGTTGAACCAGATTGAACATATATGGAGTGCCTTCAAGTCAGAAATGAAGAGCTTTTTGCAAGAGCATCGCCAAAGGGAATTCAGGAAACAAATAGAAGAAAAAAATTGAGAGTTGGAAAATAAGTTAAAGCAAAAATATTTAGATACAAAAGTCAGAGTTAGGGAAAAACAGGACTATTACCTATATATGTTTCTTGGGAATGAAAAAGATTATTATTATTATTATTATTATTATTATTAGACAAGCCATGGTTTCCAGAGTTCTGAAATTATGATACTCAAACTTGGCAGGAGTGAAAAGTGTACAGTTTCACGACATTTTACGTATTCCAATTCCAGAAATCTTCGAATAGAATAACCTAGAATAACCCAAACTTATCACGGTAAATAAAAATAATACAATCTTGAGATAAGTCTATATCTATTATAGCAAGCAGATTAATAAAGGTTCTGTATAATTACAACCTGTGAGGTCATTGAAAATGTTCATGGAATATGCATTTCAGGAAATGCTACAAAACAAATGAAAATTTCCATGAAAACTATATTTCAGAAAAAGTTACTAAACAAATGTTTTCGAACGATAACTCATACTAAATTCCTAATTTCTGATGTCATCACCTATCTGAATTCTAGATAACAGACGCCACTGTTTCAGATCTCTCAAAACCGAAGAACGGTCAATTTCCTGCTGATTTTTCCTAATTATCTCAAACACAAATTTACCGACAAAATGTCAAGAATGTTGGAAACACATAAAAACTCGACTAATCAAAGAGTTAATTATGCATGTCGTGCCACTTTCCAAGGTAAATACATAATCACTATATCGTCGAATGGCGGACAATAATACTGATCGTTTCAATGTTTCACGGAAAATCAAGTAGTAAAAGCCATTTTTATCGACGAATGCACGCGTACAAAATTTTAATAAACCACGTTGTTTTTCTGTCGATAAAAATACGTCTGACTGTGGAAAACACTAGTTATCTTTTGTGAAAAAACATGTACTAGTGAATTTTTCGCTAAAATAAAATTCGAATATTTTTAATTGTTGGAATACAGTGAGACCAATGAGGTTGCATAGCATGGGAATCTAGGAAATTGTCTAGGAAACGGTACGATATATGAATTTAGGCCCCTTTATGTAGTATTCATTCAAACGAAGATGCAAACGTGAAAAAATTATCGCTGTAATTTGCTACTAACAAATTATCAGTATGAAACCAAATGATTGGCTAGAATTACGGATTGATATTGGTTGAAACAACGAAAACGTCACATTTTGACATCTGAAAAAAATAATCAGAGTTATTTATAGTGTTTCAGTTACATCGAGAAAAGTGAATTTTTTAACATACATACATACATACACAGCAACTTTTGATAGGATGTAATATGTTTCTTTTTACTGAACATATTGGTAAGTTATATTTTTATATCAAAATACATTATCCGATTTGAGAGATAATGTCAATTCCCAATTTCAGAGGATTTTCATTTTTGATGGTCTCTTTTTGGATGTTCAACAGATATAATTCAATGTTCGACGTGGCAAATAGCCAGGAAAGTAGTTGTTTTCTGTTGAATATTCAGAATGATATAATATGCATATCTTTATATAAAGGAGAATGCAAATTCTCTACTTCATACGATTTTGTTTTCAAATTCTCATCGTGTGTGTTCAATAGATATAGATAGTTGTTTTCTGTTGAATAAACCGAGAAAGAATTGATATTTTCATCACATAGAGAATGCGAATTCTCAATGTATTTCTTTATATTTATATACAGTGTGTCCCACTTACCATGCTCACCATGGGTATCTTTTTAACGGTGAGAGATACGAGGTCGGTTAAATGACACCAAATGTGGAGTTTGTCAAGGCCAACTATAATGTGAACGAATATTTTGGTAAAATCTATTCGTTTTTGTTTTATACGCAAAAAACAGATTTTGATCATTTTCATGTCTCCTCCGTAACTTATTTATTTATGAAAATATTCAAATAGGAATTTCACATTCTCATGGCAGTTTTCCAAAGTGATTTCGAAAAAAATATGAAATTCATACTAACTCTTCTAGAATTTGAGATATCAGCACCAACTTTAGTTTTTCAAATGTAGGTCATTGCTCACTATGACTTAGTTACAAATAACTTTTTGTTCTCTTACAGATGATATGTCGCAGTAATAGTTTTGTGTTGATAACAACGGAGTTATCGTCATTTATACAAAAACAAAAAAATATTTGGAAGCCGCCATCTTGAATTTATAAACTTCAACAAGAAAATCATGATCTCCGACCTCAATAACCCCCACTTACCAATTTTGAATGGAATCGGACCAAATCTTGTCCGCCATCTTGGAGCAGCCATTTTTTTTCATTTCAACAAAGATTCCATGACTCCGATTAACTTGAAATTTGGCAGGTGTTCATAATTTCGGTGACAATACATTATACAATTTTTGTTGAATTTAAAAAAAATGGCTGCTCCAAGATGGCGGACAAGATTTGGTCCGATTCCATTCAAAATTGGTAAGTGGGGGTTTTTGAGGTCGAAGATCATGATTTTTTTGTTAAAATTTATAAATTTAAGATGGCGGCTTCCAAATAATTTTTTGTTTTTGTATAAATGACGATAACTCCGTTGTTATCAACACAAAACTATTACTGCGACATATCATCTGTAAGAGAACAAAAAGTTATTTGTAACTAAGTCATAGTGAGCTATGACCTACATTTGAAAAAATAAAGTTAGTGCCGATATCTCGAATTCTAGAAGAGTTGGTATAAATTTCATATTTTTTTCGAAATCACTTTGAAAAACTGCTATGAGAATGTGAAATTCCTATTCGAATATTTTCATAAATAAATACGTTACGGAGGAGACATGAAAATGATCAAAATCTGTTTTTTGCCTATAAAACAAATACGAATAGATTTTATCAAAATATTTTTTCACATTATAGTGGGCCTTGATAAACTCCACATTTGGTGTCATTTAACCGGCCTCGTATCTCTCACCATTAAAAAGATACTTATGGTGAGCATGGTAAGTGGGACACCCTGTATATTATATCTATCCATTTTTTATGTTCATAATATATACAGGGTGTCCAATTGGGAAACGGAAAAACTTCAACAGTGGGTAGAGCTCATCAAGGTGGTTCTGAATATACCATATTTGTAGGGTCTCGCAAGTTTTATATCCGAGATATAGGGTGTTTTATCAATTTTGTTCAATTCTTTGTGAGGACATAACTTACGAACCACCCAGTATATTCATTTGGAATTTGGTACACGATTTCGTCTTCTTCTACCAAAGCGACTCACCTATCAGTCACGAGAAAAATCCAGGAACGGATCAACGAAAATTGATCATATATCTGGACCCCAAAAATATCACCCTGTATTTTCGAATTTCCAAAATCCGCTCACATATTTGGGAAGTGCATGAAAATCTGAATCGTATGATGTACTTTCCATTTTTCCGCATGCTATTTCACTAGGTAATTTCTGATTTTGAATATGAGGTTTCATGCATTTGGATTTTTCTCGTGAATGATAGGTGAGGGGCTTGGGTAGATCAAGGAGAACTCGTGTACCAAATTCCAAAAGAATATACTGGGTGGTTCGTGATAATTGTTGTTATTCGATTGGGAAAACTCAAAACATATTATTTTTACCTATCCAAATGCATAAAACCTCGAATTCAAAATCAGAAATTCCTTAGTGAAATTGCATGCGGGAAAATGACAAGTATACCATTCGGTTCAGCTTTTTGTGCACTTTCCAAATATGTAAGCGGATTTTGAGAATTCGAAAATACAGGGTGTTCTTTTTATTGTCCAGAAATATTATCAACTTTTGTTAATCCGGACCTGGATTTTTCTCGTGACTGAGAGGTGAGTCGTTTCGGTAGAAAAAGAAGGAATTGTGTACCAAATTGCAAAAGAATATACAAAGTGATTCGTAAGTTATGTCATCACAAAGAATTGGGCAAAATTGATAAAACACCCTATATCTCGGATATGAAACTTGTGAGACCCTACAAACAGTGGGACAGAGCCACCTTGATGAGCTCTACCCACCGTTGAAGTTTTTCCGTTTCCCAATGGGACACCCTGTATATATCTGAGAATATGTTGTGTTTACAGATTCTGACAGCTTTTTCATCCTGAATTCATTCATGTAGTTTGAATGTGTTTTGACCAATGATTTTTCCGAAATTACAAATGAAAATAATCACCAGTTACTGTTACTGTTCAGTTTTTCACGTTTATTTTATCTAAGAGTAAATATGATCTGGAAAATCCAACCAATAAACATACAAAATAACTCATGACGCGGCATCAAACAAATAGCAATTGAAAATGAAATAACCAGCTATTTTCGTTCAGCTACTACTTGCTGATCAATTATTATTGATTGATGCCTCGATTTTTGCCAAAAAACTTGGCGGACATTCCGAACACACATTCGCTATTTTCAAACAAAGAAATCGAAACCGAATTGTATAATTTATTGAATATTGAACAACTTTCTAATGGCCGTGTGCCAAAGAACGAACTTGAAATACATATACAGGATGAGGCCTGAAATTAAACCCACGTG